GTTTTCCCAGACGAAGTCTTCCCAAAGGAGAGAATATGATAGGTCTGACCTATAAGTACTGGTAATCTCAATGGACGGGTCATGCAAGGATAGTTAGAAAAACACCAGGCCCCTTTACCACAATCATCAGCCCCAGAGACTCCGGTCGACAAAGAACACACCAGCAGTAATCGGGCACTACTACCATTGAAGGGAAAGAGAGATAATGGTATCACCACAGCTATGCAAAATGGTGTCCGCGCAAGGCTAATGGAGGTGAAAGAATCGCTCCGTCCTAATGGCGGTGATGATGGACACGATGGAAACACCCAGGTGTTATGATGGTCGGAGAGGTCAAGGAATGCTATCGTTCTGTGAGTGGAGATGGACCTCTATATACACAACCGTGGATATGCCAAGTTGCAGTCCACGTTCCAACACTTATCATAGGACTATGTTTACTCATAATGTACACATCCACAATAACCCCTATACCTCTACAGTTAACTACGCTATGCTCCCAAGCACTCCCAATACGGTACAACAACTCTCCACTACTAGGATTACCATACCACCAAAAACTACAACGCTAGACTAGACTATCCCCACTTCTCACGCATCAAGGGGGAAAGAAATCTCGACCAAATCGCAGTTTCTCCACCGGAATTATTAAGGGCTCCTCGGTTGATGCTAATGCAGGACTCTGGATATCATACAGTGATATATAACACACTGTTGGAATGAAGAAGGTATGATGATAAGATCTGCCTGACCTCTCTCACCCACCAACGAACGAACCGCAACCGCCTCAAAGGCACCGACATCCTCTAGACACCATGGCCAAGTGGTCGTTGGAGCCAAGAGCACAAGGTTATGTGCCGTACTAGCACAGTACTGTAGTTGTGAACTCTGAAGGCTGAGATACTCGTCCCACGCAAGAAGTATCCGGAAACAGGGATTCTTAAAACATATGGCAAAACATCTGTGCGCAATACAAAGTCACGACTCGTATTTTCGGATACTTCTTGCCTGGGGAGAGTACGGAAGCAACCAGAAAACGACGGTGGACGAACAAAGTACCGATATGCAGGATAGGTCAAACAAGGGCTAGTTCGACAGATGAATCGTGGAATACTGTGCAGAAGGCCCTGTTCGGGCCGCGAAGAACCCGGAAAACCAACCTCACAATCCCACGTGTCATACATAGCTGAGATATTTATTGTAACAGAGGAGGCACGGCGCGCATGGCCCAGCGTCGTTTCAAAATGCGATGCTTTGTATCATGAGGGTGAAAAAGGACATTTAATTCGAAAATTTTGGCTTTTTCCGAAAAAGTTCTAAAGTTTGAATCAAGTCACTGTATAAGGGATTTTTCTCCCTTCCCCCCCCCCTTCATCTCTAGATCCTTTCCATATCCCATAATATGATAACAATGAAAAAAATATTAAAAACATAAACGGCCATGAAGCTTGGACCTTAGACCCAATCGCATACCGTACTCGAGTAAGGCATTACATTTTGAAACGCCACTAGACTCTAGATGGCTTGCACCATGCGTATAGTACTTGTATCGTACGGTAAGAAACGGGACCAGAGCCTATGATAATAATATGGTACTTGTGACTTTGAGACTTGAGCGCTTGGGCACGGGAGAAATGTCGCTATGATATTTACAGTACTCGCTCGTACCGGTAGGTCGTTGAAATTCCCACTCTGGGATAAGGGGTGGGGGGGAAACCGCCTCAATTGCATGTAAATTTATGATACCTACCGTAGGTGGGGGAAAGCCTCAAACCGGAGCACTCACGATAATTCAAGTACGATATCATCACAATGCGAGTTCATTATGATAACCGGATAAAATTTAATTTGGCTTGTTCTTGGCGAGAATAACTGGCATCTTGGCGGTTCGAAACGGTGAATAACCGGTGGAGTGCCGTTGTGTTTCAAACAACTCAACTTTAAAACCCCTCCACCAATGGCTTACAAGAAGGTTAATATCTTTAAAAACCCCCTAGCCCATCCTATTACACCTTTGTATACTATAACTACCACATAACGCGGAAAAATAGAGAGATTAAATGTTGTTGTCGAGAGGACTTAGCAGTTTGGAGTTGGGCATTTTTCGGATCGGATGTTCTCCGTTCCACATTTCCTCCACCATAAGCCCTCGGTTAGGGCAAAAAAAGGAAGAGCAAAAAAATAAAAAAATTTTAATAAAAAAATAAAAAATGCCCAGCACCTTACTAGGAGAGGAAACAACAACGTCGTAGCACACTTCGCTTGCATTCGAGTGTGGTACTTGCGCTACCCTCGGCCCGCTGGCTAATGTCCTAGCACAAAGCTACGGGTACTGTACTCGTACAGTACTCGTACACGTAGAAGAACCCTCTCCATTCCCTCACATCACACTACAATAACCTGATTGGCCGGGTTAGCCGAGAGCATTAACAACTGGAAGGAAACACCGGATGCAGTACCTTCTGCAGCGGTACGGGGGGGGGGGGGTGGGGGCTTGTCCCTCAGGGGCGATAGGCCGTTTACCGTACGATATATTGTGTGGGTCCTGGTGGGGAAGAATTATGATACCGTAGGCGTTGTTTATGGAGGGCAAAGCCCATAATTCTTTGTTCCAGAGAACACAGAGAACTGGAGAACTGATACTGGGACCGTACTACGGGAGTTTCGTAATAAATCGTCGCTCCTAACAGGCCATCCCATGCCAAGAAGACAATCCTTGGTCAAGCGTGCTAGCGAGGACCTCATCTCGGTGTCTACCGAGTATAGTGCTTGAATACTGTACGGTACCGTACCGGTTACTACGAGGTCGATAGGTATGATAGGATCATGAGAAGCGGCTATTTCCAACGTTGCTAAATCGGGGGGATCTCGAGTGATGTGATGTGATTACGCTTAGGCATTTGGTTGAATTTGTGATCTGCGAGGGGACAGTTAAATTATCTGGGTGTGGCACTGAATTCCTCCTAGGCTTATGGATATGCTTTCCTCCACGCATAATGCCACACGTCGAAAACTTCAGTCGGGGGGGCCGACCACAAACCCAAAGCCTTCCAAGCACCCCTACCACGACTCCCTAGAAACCCTCGCCAGAGCCTCCCCACCCCCGGGCACCTGAACCGAACATCCAAGATATGATACTATACCCCCCCCCCCGTTCCAGACATCTGAACAAAATCCGCATAACCATCCTCTCATCCACAGCGGAAACGTTCGAGCACGTACCTCCTCTCGCGTGAGGTCCGCACCCCTTCACTCCTTCATATGTGTCGCCCGCGGCATCTGTGCACTTCCCGGAGTGCTTGCTTCCGGAATCCGTACGAGCAGGGTGCTGTAGGTTTCTGTTTTGCCTGGTTGTTTCCTCTCCGGGTGGGCTGGTGGTGGTTAGGCGGGAACGGATGAACAAATGCAGGTCTGGCTGACGTACCGAGTCAGATGGGTGAAGGACATGGCCGGTCAGTTCTACACACACACTAAAATGGGGAGGTCTTTCACTCATTGATATCGACCCGGGGTTTCCGCATTGTGGGGGGGCTAAATGCTTTCCACACTACTGCACCTCTCCTTGCTTTGGGAATATTGCACTCGTGTGGGTATGATATCATTATATTTTATGCTCTACCAGCCATTTCGAGTTTGGGGGGGGGTGCTGTGACTCAAACATTTTCCCGGTGCCGCACCAGAAAATGCCTGCTAGGTATAGTACACTTTTGTTCAAAGGTAATTTTGAATACAGTAGCTATAACAGTAGACGGGGGGGACTCATTCGACGAGAACTTTCTACCCGGCACTCGCTCGGCCGAGTCGAAGCCCGACGGACACTCTTTTATACCGAGCCTATTGCAGGGCAACACAATTAATAATCGCATGCGATACAAAAAAAGACAGTTCCATAATAATAATATTATGCAATCTGTTTCAGTACAGTCCCAGTACCGTATACCGGTAGTGCATGACATGGCAAACACTTGCCCTCATCCATACTCTATTAACCAACTCGAAGTGCTTCTTTTTCCTCATACGCTATCATACAACCTACGAGTATTTTCTACGATGATAGTATTATATAGAATTACATCACGGCTTGGCACTTTGGAGACCTGAATTTATTGGCCCAGCGACCACTATTGTAGTACCGCAGGTCAGGCTGCTCGGCTACACCTCGGCCTCACGAGTAAAAAAAGAGAAAGGAAAAAAAATCAAAAAATGTATGGAGGTATGATACAAGTGCCGGTAATTCCCAGAGGTGGTTGAAGCTGCTTGGATTTGAATTCGTTAGCATAATTAGCCGAACATCGCGATGCAACAAGGCATACTTCTTCCTTCGCAATACCGGTATTTGTACGAGTACTTGACCAACCAAAACCACAACTAAAAAATATTTAATAATAAAATATATCATAATATTATCACACCAGGAGCCTTTCTCTTTTTTTTGTTTTGGTAAAGGTATACGGTAAGTGGGGGTTCGGGAGTGAGTGAGGAGGAGGGTTCCTATGTCGGTTAATTATGCTAACCAACAATAACTTACCTGAATTTTAGATATTTTTAGGCTATTGGCCATAAATCGTGAGTAGAGAACGGTACTAGTACTCGTACAGTGCTCGAGTACTGTAGAGCACCGTACAAGTAAATTCGAGCCGAGGCTATACTTCTCAAAGCAACCACTAGTTCTAATCCTGTGGTATGTGCGTTTATCTAGGGATAAGTTAACTGCCATATAGAAGTCTCCTGCAAAGGATCGGCGCAGGCAACAGTATAAGATCAGCATTCAGGAACTTGTTGGATCGCATTAACTGGTGTTCGCGACTCTGGTAGTTAGTACTGAATATATTATATTATATTATATTAATGTTAACTTGTCGGACTAAACCAATCCTGGGTTGGCGGAGATGGCGGACTCCACGAGGTTTTATAGTAACCTGTCTTCGCATCACTTGATTAGAAGAAGAGCTTCGCTGTCCAAAGGTTCTTTTTTATTTTTTTGAGCAATTTTCATTTACCTATTGATTTGATACCAATATTCTGGATAGTACAAGTATCATACGCGCTATGATACTATGATACACCGGTAGTGTAGGACAGCCTGTGGGGCCATGACCTTCGGCAACGAGCGAACCCCTCCCTCCCCTTCTACTTCCGCATGCTCTGTGGAGTTCGGGAGTTAAACTGGATGGATACGCACCGGTATCGACGGGGGTCATAATTACGCGACCGAGGGTACTGTACAAGGGCCGTGTTGCAAAGTTGGCTCTTGTACCTGTAAGGAGGAAACAAGCTTTCACCCACCAACCACGGAACAACATCAACCCGTCCAACGGTGCCCCATGTCAACATGCAGAAAAAAAAAGAAAGAAAAGGAAGGAAGAAAGTGACATCAGACGTTGCAGTACTCGAATCCTCGAATGTGAGTACGAGTAGAGTAGAGTCACACTGGCAGCACTCCTTCCTTGTTTTCATTTTTGCCCATATCGCCAAATGTAGAACGTAAGAGAACCCGAAGTCTTGGTCATAGCCTTTGTGTGAGGCAGAGATATCATGCTCGAGTACTCGTGGTGCCGAGGCACCGTTGAAAAGGACTGCTATTGGCCCTTTCGTTTTGGATTCGGATAGCAGTTCCCCTTAGGAAGGCATCGACGTGACGAGTACAGTACAGTACTCGTATGATACGATGAGCCGCAGCTGTACCCGGGCTATTATTCGAATGGTGAAATCATGAGTCAAAAAAAAAAAAAAAAAAAGGGATTGGACTGGAGACCGGAGCATACTTTATCGTATTTATATTATTTTCGACTTCTGATTGCCCGTGCTTGAAAGTGATAATGGCGTGGGATCTCAAATAATTGAACCGTCCTCTTAGGCACCTGTAGGTAGCCCAAAATTTCCTTCCCTGAAAAGGGGAGACTTCGAAAGGTGGGTTGATTCGGCACCCTCTGAGAGGCGGGGAAAAAGAAAAGGAAAAGAGAAGAAAAGAAATAATACGGTAGACTACCGGTGAGGGTTTGTGGATTAGTAGGAGGGGTAAGGTCTTGTATCTATGGGGTGTTTGCTCCATAGAATTTCTTGTCACAGAAGGGGGCGAGTCGTGGAGGGAAAATTTGTCCTCTTAAGCACTCCTGCCCTTCCCACCTTAGTTTAGTCAAGCCACCCACAGAGAACAATGCAATAGACAACACTTCCACCCTTACTTGATTGGGTCCACTTTTGTGTTCTTTTCTTGTCTCTTTACTTTCCTAGCAATACTACATACCAGTGAGTCAATTCCCTGTGACATTATCCTACGGTTTAACAGAAGGTCACAATCACGATAATTTGCAAGTTCAACTACTGCAAGATCCCATGGTCGCCAGAGGTTTAGTACGAAAGAAATTCCACAAGTGGTGCTCTGAAACGGATTTCTCTGATTGCCACAACAATAGTCCATTTGAACTCTGCCATCCTGGAATTCCTGTTACCATCTGATAGTAAGTTTCCTGAGAGTGGTGACTATACACCTGAGTGCATGGGTCCTGTGTACTCCTTGGGAAAGGTTGGTATCGAGAAACCTCTTGAGCAGCAGAAAGCCTTGCAGATTGTCGATACTTTGTACTACCAAAGAAACAGGTATTGGTACAAGATCCCACGTCGCATTACACAAAACCCTAGTGAGGAAGACCATTATCAGTTTTGCCTACTATTGAAAAGAGAGTTTGTACCGCCTGAGTTTCTCAAAACCCTATCACTACCTCTGTTAGTCACTTTGGATAGTAGTTCCGATTTCTTCAATCAACAAAAGATCATGGGTCATTCAAGTTCAATGGATATCAAGTTTACTGGTGATGACTCTGTGGATGTTAAAACATTTCTGGGATGGATGAGGACCTGGTTTGCTACAATAGGAGACGATTACAATGGGAGGACCAAGGCATTGAAGAAAATGAGAGCAGCCCAAATCTGGATGGCATGCCCGGTTAAGTCTAAGGCAGGTGTCTTCGTTAGTCAATTGCCTGAGGAGATTCAATGAGATGAGGAGAAATTGTCCGACGCATTGATGGAACAGTTTCATGACCTGGATATTGATGGCCAAGTACAAGAGGATATTCTGTCAGTTATAAATGGCATCCAACAAGGCGACCGCAATGTGTTTGTCTATTCCCGTAAGGTCTTGAAGATTCTTCGCCGCAAGTCCTCCAGTCTGAAGTAGTAGGACAAGATCTTGGCTCGTTATTATATTGACGAGCTTACCAGCAGATGGTTGCAACAGATGGCAATCCTAAGTCTCCTGAAGCTGGATTCTCGTGAATCTCCTATGCAGGTTGTGAAGGGAGTGATGAGTCTTACAATTCAATTGAGATTGAAAGGCTACAAGAAGGCAGTGGAGGAGTGCGAGTCCGATGATGAGGACAGCATGGTCAGTGATAAGGATGAATCTGAAACTGAGTCAGATTCTGATGATGATCCAGCTTATAGGTATGTAAAAAGATCTGCTCACAGGTCTGAGAGGTCTGGGAAACGCTTCAGGAGGAAGGCATTCAAAAAGTCCAGAAGAATGAGTTACAGTGGAGAGGATGATCGAATTCTTCATGAGTTTAGAGAGTTGAAAGATCTTGTGAAAAATTTGATGAAGGTACAGAAGGCCCCACAGGAGAATGTAAGAGGAACTGTGGCTACAAGTTAGGAAGAGGTGTTATTTCCTTGGATACCTATGAGGTTGATCGTAGTTATGGGCAGCAAGTGCAGTATGGTTATATGCAGCCCAGCCAGAGCAATCTTGTGAGTAGGTGTCCAGAATTTCCAAATCGTCATAGTCTACCCAGACAGTTATCAAATTACAATCCTCCAACCTTTACGAGAGGTATCCAATACGAGAGAGGACCAATTGCTCAGCCAGGTCCATCCTTCACTGCGAGATACCCACTTGAACGAGAGGCCAATTAGCAAGTTTACCAACCTTCATCTCTGTACAATGAAAGTTTATCAGCTATGCAACCAATAATTGGACCTGATGGCGTGCTTTACTATCCAGCTCGTAGTGGGCCTAGATGTTACAACTGTGGAGAGGTTGGCCATATATGACCATATTGTCCAAAATTGCAGCCTTATAATGGAGGTACTCAGAGGGGTAAGCCCAGGTATCCTAATCATAATCAATTACAGTCCAATACAGTACCTATACCAGCAGAGCCTATAACACATCTGTAAGAGTTGGAAAAGCCAGTTAGTGTGATTGAAATTGCACCAATATCCTCTGCTCTCTTGGGAATGACAGTTCAAGTGTTGACTCCGATGAATGGTGGTAGTGAGAACTTGATGAAGTTTGTCCGCCGTTTGCCTACTAGTGACTCTCATGGGGAAGATGAAGATGATTATGAGAGTGATACAGGTATCTCAATCATGGCTGGTGAGCGTGCATGAAGATTTAGTGAGTTACTATCAGAGTTCGATGGGGAAACTAGTCCAGCTAACCAGAGGCAAAGACGGGATTATGAAAATAAAGAAGATGAGGTAGTTGACCTTACTTCAAAAGGTCGAACACTGAAGTCAACAGGGAGACGACTACTAGTACGTAGGCCAATTCGTATAATGACTGGACGCGAGAAGTTCGATTTTGTGGGAGTATTTCATGATGCCCCAGTTATTGGATTGAATTGAGCATCCTTTTTTGATCTTGCGCTAACAGTTAAAAAGGATATTTGTCATCTCCTTATTCAAGAGAGAACGAAAGGCCTAGGTCAAAAAAAGAGCAAGATGAAAGGAAAGAAGGTTATAGTTGATACAGGAATACAGGAGGCGGTAGAAGATAAAGAAGTTTTGACAGTAGCCACTAATCGTGACCTGGGTAATGCTGCCAATTTCTACACAAAAGGGATAGTGCAGATTCAAGGTGGCCAGTTTTATGTTACTAGGATCTTGGTTGATGCCGGATTGGTAGTCAATTTCGTACCAATTCGTCTTCTATGTTTAATGGGGGCGAAGTTAAAGAAAGCAGATGGAATAGTCATTCGCACGACTACCAATGCTCTTGCAAGAATAGTCTACTATGCAGATGTTCGGGTCATTATAGCCAAGGTCCTATGCGATTTACGAGTCTACACTTTACCAGATGAGTACAAGCGTACCTATCCCATGCTCTTGAGTAGGTGATGGCCTGAAGCAGTCAAGACAAAGGGGACTATGCTAGTGGACAGTATTATATCATGAGCAGTCATGGTACTTGAGTTCGGATACCTAGCAATGAAAGCTACAAGTCAAGCAGTAGTGGTTTCACAAAGAAGTAAGCTTCACGTATTCCAATTGTACTTAGGGACAAAGGTAACAAGATCAATGAGGTATCTGAAGAAGTTAAAGATGAGCTAGAATTGCAGCAGTCTACTGGGAACAAGTTTTTTGATGACTTAATTCAGTTAATTAAATGTTAAGCTAGTGAGCAGATAAAGGAGGAATAAGAGAAGGAGGAAGTTGCAGAGCTTTCCAATTCGGAAAACTAGCATCACCAGTCAATATTTCGAGCCGGTTGGCTGGTGGAGAAGTGAGGGAAGTGGTAGAGGTGTTGAGTGTTTTAGGTTCGAAGGAGAATAAAAAGGAAGATGAAAAGAGGAGCTGTTTGTCCAGAAATGTGAATGAGAGACAGGGGAGAGTAGATGATTTGAATATTGAAGATGCTTTGATTGATAGAGTGGATGTTATGGTGGAATCATGTAAGCAGAGAGGAGAGGAGAATGATGGATCTGTGATGGAGGCAGAAATGTTTGGTGAAGAGGACATCTATTTTTGGGGAGAAATGGGAAGCTAGACAAATAGCGGATGTGATTCGCAGATGGTGAATGGATCGAAGATTAAGGCAGAAAAAGAGGAGAAGCAAGAGGGTAAATAAGTGAGGGGGCAAATTGAGGAAGAGGTTGAAGGTCTTAGTGTACCAGAAGAGTACGACAAGAGTGGTGGTACATTCATAGTAGAACTTCCTAGTTTTCGGGATGAGACTGAAGCAGCTGAGATTGCAGCATACGGGCGGATTGTCCTTTTTCCAACTGCTTGGAGGCCTGCATTTTACTGGAGGACATTAATTGACAGTTCAACAGAAGAGATTTCTATCTGGTTTGAAAACTCAAAGATCAAATTGGGGAATCGGTTGACTAAGGAATAAAGATAAAAAGCAGAGGAATTATTGTTCACTTGGAAAGACCTATTTGCAAGTTCACTAGAGGAGATGCCTACGACTGATTTTCTTGAACATCGAATTCCTATCTACCCATATACACTACCTGTATATGTAAAGGAAAAGATTTATACTCAGGAGGAGTGTGACTGGTGGGATAAAAATATTCCTGCAATAGAGAAGGCAGGAATTATTGCAAGATCAGAGTCTCCATGGTCTCATCAAACAAGATTTGTACGCAAGAAAGATGGTGGTCTACACATAGTCTATGTATTTTGTCCAATCAACTGGGCCACTATTCTGTCAAGTTATCCTATGAGATGAATTGAGCTGGTAGTCAACAATTTGATGAAGTCATGTTATACAATCTACTTTCATGCAGATGTGGCGAATGGTTACTAGACAGTAAAGATGTATCCACCTCATGCATATCGAACAGTGTTTGCTGCACATAATGGCCAGTGGCAGTACTTGCAGATGGGACAAAGTTTAGCAGGAGCTCACTAAACTTACACCAGGCTTAAAGATGTCTTTCGAGGTTATATTCCACCACCTTATGAGAAAGATAGTTTAGATAAGTGTACTGAAGAAGCCTTTGAGTGCTTTGTA